GGTTTTCTCATCTGGACCTTGTTTAATACCAGAACTTGCTGCCTCATGAATAAAGCTTGGTGGAGGAAGTCCAAATCCTTCATATAGCATTTCATAAGTTTCATCACCATCGTTCAACTCAGTTTGCCCGACATTCACATTGTGTGGCACAGGCGACGACAAATTCTCCCCATGAAAAATCCAACTGATGTAACTTGGAAGAAACCCATTGATCATTAAATGTTCCCCTAACTGGCCTTTCTCCACCAATTTGACATTACGACACCGTTTACATGGGCATGTGACTTCATTCAACAATGGCTTATTTTCGCATGCAAATTTAATAAATTCCTTAACCCCTTGTATATATTCCGGGTGCAACCTATGCTGATTTATCCAACTTTTATCCATGGTAACAAATTTCTCACTGCTATTGGAAGTATTTGTTGCATGAGTATATGGTTATCATGACTTTTCAGTCCAGATATGCTACGCTGTTTGAGGTTAACCCGACGAGAAATATTGGATGCGTAACCATCTGGAACTTTGATATTCTTTAGAAGTGTGCAGAATAGACTTTTCTCTCTATTGTTCATGGCAAAACATGCAGGAGGCAAATAATACTTGTTCCCAACCCTTTTCTGAGGATGTAGTGCCTTCCGAATTCCCATATCTTGCAAATCTCGGCGAGTATTTAAATTGTCCTTCCCTTTCCCATCAATATTTAATATCGTCCACAATACATTATCACACACGTTCTTTTCAATGTGCATCACATCAAGATTGTGGCGAATCAAATTATGTTCCCAATATGATAGCTCAAAGAAAATACTTTTCTTCTTCCAATTATGACCCAAGTCCTCATTTTCCTCATTTTCTTTCCCCTTTCTATTTCGTTTGCTAGATTGTTGACGCTTAGAATTCAATTTGAACTTAGGGCCTAGTTGTTGTAGCACACGAGTTGGACATGGTTCGAATTCACGAGTGGCATCAAAAGACGCACTAGCTTTCCGAAATTTGTGACCCCCATTCAACCAGCGACGATACCCCATGTCCGTTCTTCAAATATCAAGAACGAGTATGTGTGTTACAACAAGGACAAGCTAAAGCACCTTTCGTGCTCTATCCAGACAAAATTGCATAGGCAAGAAAATCATTTATAGTCCACAATAACACAGCATGCATTCGGAACATCTGATTAGTTTCCGCATCATACGTGTCAACACCGTTTTCCCACAGTTCTTTCAATTCATCCACTACAAGGCGTAAGTAGACGTCAATATTATTTCCAGGTGAAGAAGGACCATCGATAAGCAATGTCATCATCATATGAGGTTGCTTCATGCACAACCATGGTGGCAAATTGTATGGCATTATAATAACTGGCCAACTGCTATGAGAGACATTCATTGCCTTGTATGGATTGAATCCATCCGCTGCTAAACCCAGTCTGACATTGCGAGGCTCACTCGCAAACTTGGGATACAAATTATCAAAATTTTTCCAAACTGGAGAGTCAGCGGGATGTCTCATTTTGCCGTCATCAATTCGGCCCTTTGTATGCCATCTCATTAAAGAAGATGTTTTGGATGATATAAACAATCTTTGAAGCCTTGGAATCAATGGAAAGTATCTAATAATCTTATGCGGAATTTTTTGTTGCTTCTTCTTAACATCATTCTCCTCCCCCTCAAACTGTTTGTATCTAGGCATATGACAAACTATGCAATCATCCATACCAGCTGTTTCCTTCCAATATAATGAACAATCCCTTGGGCATGCATGTACCTTATGATAATCGAGGCCCAAGTCCCTAAGAAGTTTCCTAGTTGCATAAAATGACTTCGGCAAAGTTTCACCCTTTGGAAACGAATCCTTCAAAAGCTCGAGCAACATCGTGAAAGACTTGTCACTCCATCCACTAAGGCACTTGATGTGCAATAACCGAACAATAAATGAGAGCGTTGAAAACTTCTGACACTCAGGATACAACTCTCTTTCGGCCTCTTTCAATAAATTGAAGAATTTTTTGGTTTTCTCATCTGGACCTTGTTTAATACCAGAACTTGCTGCCTCGTGGATAAAGCTTGGTGGAGGAAGTCCAAATCCTTCGTATAGCATTTCATAAGTTTCATCACCATCGTTCGAATCAATTTGCCCGACATTCACATTGTGTGGCACAGGCGATGACAAATTCTCCCCATGAAAAATCCAACTGGTGTAACTTGGAAGAAACCCGTTGATCATTAAATGTTCCCTTAACAGGCCTTTCTCCACTAATTTGACATTACGACACCGTTTACATGGGCATGTGACTTCATTCAACAACGGCTTATTTTCGCATGCAAATTTAATAAATTCCTTAACCCCTTGTATATATTCCGGGTGCAACCTATGTTGATTTATCCAACTTTTATCCATCTGACTCTGTCTTACACTACAAATGTCACTGCCAAATCAACAAAGTTCAAAATTACCGTGCCATTTTAATTAATCTTAACCTCAATTAAGTACCTTATAATGCATGCCATATGGCATCATTCGCCTCTAACTGGTCTCTAATATGTTGGTTCATCCTACTTTCCCATTCAGGAATGCACAGCCTATATTGTAAAAAGCAGCTCATACCGCTCTGTTCATCTCTAACGAAATTTCGGCAGCATCTCCACATGGTTCTTCAAATACATGACATAGACTAGGTGTACTGTTACACCTTGTCTAGTAGGCACTCAGAGAACACAAGGAGTTACTACATGAAATCTCTACGAGATGGACTATAAGCAGTAGAACTACTAATTACAATACAGACTTGTGCTCCTGAACTGTCCAAACTGGACAATCCAAGAAGAGCTTCATCAAAGATGACTAGGTATCTCTAATGAAGATTCTTGGACAGGTCTAAGGCTATTTATGCATGCATGCACCATTAATGATTGCATCCCGGTGGTGCAATCTAAATTAGTACTATCAAGCATACTAGAAGCATATCTAATATGAAGCATATTAATGAAGAAACCAAAAGTTTCTACAATGCTCTTGATGTATTATGATAGATTCAAGAAATACATTGCTCTCTCAAATCAATCAATAAAGACCAAACTATTATGCCTTCAAATGAAAGCAAGCACAAACAAAGTCAAATATTAATTGATGTGCATTTCCATATAGAATACATAAATATCTGTTTATGGTGTTTTGATACATTTTAGCATGCATCAGTTGCCATGGTTAATAAGAGCTTGCCATAATATTATTAGTGAAATCGAATGGTAAAGATTGTCCTGTAAGAAGAATAATCAGCATACCAAGACACATATATAAGCATAATGAATCCAATGTTCCAATGGTTGAAATCATAGCACAATCCTCATATTGTCACTCAAAATATTGCAAGAAATACAACACATCAACCATCCCACAAAGCATAACACAAGTCTCTGATTCATTTCAACAACATATTATGCACAAGCGGCTCAAGTGCTAGGCAAATAAGACTTCCATGCTTGTTTGTAGCATTGCAATTTGTGACACTATTTTAGTATTTTCTCCAAAAAATATGATTGTGTTTCCTTAGAATTTCTTGTTCATCATCACTCTAGGCTAGGTTACTACTCTTATAATTGTTAGGGATCGATCTTAATGCAATCTTTCTTCTTTTACCTATCATTCTAATATAAATTTAGTGTTATTGCCAATTAATTGCCTAAACCATAAAACAATTATTGACATTGTGCAAATATCAGCTGAAATTGGGGCTCTGTACTTCCACTGTTATATAAAATCTAATCTATGACATGTATTCATTTGAAAATTAATGTACCAGAATGATACTTATCTAGTTTCTAGTGATAGTTACTGCAAGTGTAGGTCATTTTGGGAACTTTTATAGGGCACATGAAAAGTAAACTAGGTGTTTTGTGAAACAAGGGGGATTTTATTATGATGATGAGATTGTTGGGAAAGTGGGAAGAGAGAGATTTAACTTCTACAGTTGGAATGTAAATTCATGTTTCTTAATAAGAAGACGACTCAATCTTCATTTGCTAATTTACTTGTAAAATAAGTACAAAAAAAAGGAGGAAACTTCATTTGATAATTTGCAAAAGCACATTGCATCAATTTGTACTATCTTCCCTTTGAAAGGATATATTGGCCTTAATCTACATTTTGTTATGTTGTTACGAGTGTAGGAAACATATATTTTAATGTTACTCCGTTTGGTGTTGTTTTAAGCCTTCTTCTTTATTTATTGGGTATCTTGTTTCACTAGTTATTTGACATTTCTAAGTTGCATTCACATGCAGGGTGCTCGGAATTTCAAAAGCTTTAGGCAGACTCTTAAAAGATTAGAAGAAGCTGCTGTTTCTTGTAGGGGCCCGGAGAGAGCCCAGTTTATGAAAAATGGTTGGTTGTGCTTAAAGAAATTGAAAAATTATCTGGGGTTTCCTTGGAGGATAAAGAAAAGAATCCAGAGCAGAATCATCCCTCTGAAGAACCAAAGGAGAATATGAAAAAACCTTCTATGGTGAGTATAATCCTATTTTGTAAAAACTGGATTTTCATCTTGTCAAATTGGTATTAATGATTATGATATGTTTTTTGGGTCTATAATCCTGTAACTCCAGTCTGATTTCATTTGCGTAGTCTCTTTTACAGGCTCTATGTTAGGCATGCCCTTTGTATTGCTAATAATAATCTTATAAAATTCTTTCTAGGGAATTTAGGATATGAAAATAAGCCACCATTTGTGTTGGGTGGGAGCTTTTTTGTTAATACCATTGTGTAGAAATCTTCATAAAGCCTTTATACTGTGGAAACTATGTAAAATTTGTATGAGTTGCTCCACAACCATATACATGACTTCTGGCAAGCTTAATATTAGGATCAACACATTAGGGTGTAGTGACCTAGTTTGGCCTTCTTGAATAATATACCCATGGATGTGAACCTGAACTATAACGATGCCCCAGGAATAGTAATACATTTTGAATGCCATACAAAGCAAAGAGAGAAAAAGAAGAAACTGATTGAAAGTTCTGGCAAGCTTGGGTAGGAATGACACTAATGAATGCAGGGTGTGCTGGCATAGTTTTATTTAAATTGAGCCCTCGATTGTCAGTTTTTGGTTCAAAGACAAATTTTGTGATCCTTGCTTTGGGATGTCATGTTACACATCTTACTCTTTTTTCTTTTGTTTCATATTCTTCTAGTGGTGCAACTATATTTCCTAAGTTGCACCCACTAGACCAACCCCTTGGGGTTGATACACTAAACTTCCTATTGCTCATGTCCGATATAGACCTCTCCATTGCCACCCCCTCTCTATGCTAAGGCTGCCTTGGATCTCTCCTCTCCCACCTTTACTGGTCTCCAACCCATCTCAATGTCTGCCATTTTCCCAATTCACCTCCCACAATCACAATGTGACATAAATTTCAATATGTTTAATTAATCAATAGTTAGGCTTTTATATGTTTAGTTTAGATAGGTTCCAAATTATGTTTCCAAACAATTCAATGTATTTTCAGATTCTTTTGTCCCTTGAAAATTTGAAATGCTTCGTATACATTTTCAAAATATCTTTGTTATCACATTAATCAAAGCAACACATTGAAATAAAACTTTGATCCATGGCCATGTAGTATTCCAATTCAGCAATTCAGTGCAATGCAAGTACGGGCGCAAAGAAGTGAAGGGCCAAATGCGCAAGTCCTCAGCCCCTTCAATAGGTTCAATTCACTATTAATCAATGGTGTATGTTCCGGATTTTGCATAACAAAACTTTTCTATACACAACATCCATCATTCCAACTCACTAAATTAGAGGGGAGACTGTAAGAAACTTAGAATGAGCACAAGATGGTCTCATTCCTCTGTTCTATGTAATCATAGAATATCTTGTTTCTACTTTATTCCAGCTGTTATCTATCTTCCGAAAATTTAATGTACTAATCCAATAAAATACCCCTTCAAAATTTATAAATTTGAATCCAGGTACAAAAGCTCACCTTAACTAGAAAAGATATAAACCCAATGAATGTCAAGCATGGTTACTCCACCTAAGATAAAGACTTAGCCAATTGTCAATAAGAATCAATACAGTTCACATATAAATCAAGATGAATACAACTATACAAGACCAATATCAAGCACAGTATCAGTTCAGTTCCGAGGATGAATTTCGTATGGTTTTGGGCGAAATAATGTACTTCAATCTAACAAATAAGTGATATTATAGTCGAAACCGACATCATCAAGAAGAAATTGTTAGGCACACCATATTTTTGGTTATGACATACACAAATCAAGCACAATATCAGTTCAGCTTGAGAGAGAGAGAGAGATAGAGACAGAGACAATGGAGCCCACCGATCTGAATCGCTAAGATGAAATTCGATTTTGATTTCGAGAGAGAACTTTGAAATCGCTCTGATGAATCACCGATCTGTTTCGCTGAGACCAAGCTGAATCTCTGAATCACAGAGCTGAACTGATAAAGATAACTAGGGTTTAGACAGCACACACACACACACACAGAGGGAGAGAGAGAGGGAGAGAGAGAGAGAGAGAGAGAGTAGCTCACCAATCTGAATCGATTTTGAGAGAGAACTTTGAAATGGCTCTGATGAATCACCGATGTAAGATCTTCGAAATGGTTGTGACTTCGATTTTGAAAGATCTTAGACAGTGCAGAGAGAACTTCGAAATGGCTCCGATGAATCACCAATGTAAGATCTTCGAAATGGCTGACTTCGATTTTGAAAGATCTTAGACAACGTAGAGAGGGCGAGAAAGAGAGAAAGAGAGAGAGAGAGAGAGAGAGAGAGAGAGAGAGAGAG